CAGACGCATGCATAAGTCTTAGCAGGGTCAGGAGTGTTATAAAGGCAGCAAGTGTCCTGGGAGCCTGGCAGGAGCAGTCCACCTAAGCCCTCAGCTTGCTCCTAGGCTGTGAAAATCCCAAATCTTGCAGATGCCACGCCAGAGCCTACGCCCGAGCTGGCAACGTGTATCTGATTAACCTCGGCCTTCTCGTGAGCCTTATTAAAGGGAGTCATGTTTTATTCAGGCCGTTGTGACCTGACCAGTGGAGAAAATGGAAGAGTTCTGGGTCTGGATTAAACAGGACATAGTAGTAAAAGCCATTTGGCTTGCATGGGTGTAAATGCAGTTACAAAGCTGCACCTGCACAAGTCCACAATTTGGCCCAGGGGGTCTGTATTAAATCGTGGCAGTGTCTGAAAAGGTCAGGACAGGTGTAAGTTCCCTATCACTCACTCACTCGTGTGCACACACACACACGCACGCCGCACTTCTGGGCACAGAGCTCATCAGCGACATGCTTTCCGCTGAACTCCAACAAGCCATTTCTCCGGTCATCTAGGAGGCAAGATACAAGCATTAGCAACTCCGCGACGTGCTCGGGACATCATCCTGATTGGATGCATTTCTTTTTGGCATCTTCAGAAGAGGATGGAGTTGACACTTCTTCCCCTCACATCAGTGTGACTCTTCCCCAACGCTGACCTGGGACCAAAGAGCATCGAGGGCAGAGTGGGAGAAGCTCACGCAGGCTTTCCACGCACAAGCAGTCTGGTGGGGCCAGTCTCGGTGAATTATAAGATTCAATCAGCCCAGACACTTAGTCTTCATCCCAAGGAGATGGGAAAAGGAACAGAAATGTGCAGAACAACGCGGCCCAGCCGGCAGAAAGCAACCCACCGGTTTTATAGCCACAACAGCAATCGCGAGGCCAGCGAACCATTTTCTGTGGCAAGAAAGCTCCCTTTTTTTCCCCACCCCCTGGATCCCTTCCTAATTCCTAACTTAATTTATTTTGACATCCTCCCTCCAAGCCTGACCTCTTTACTGGAATCATGCAGTGCTTAAAACTCATTATTCCGCCCCTGAAACAGGAAGTTAATTAAAAACCCTTAAAAAAAAAAAACGGGGGAGGAGGAGGTGGTATTGATTGGTGTCAGCAGTCTCACCGCACGGCGCGTTTCCACGCCGGACTGGAGATTGCACTCCGTGCAGGTACTGAGTGCTTCTCATCTTGCCCACTCTCCGCGGCCCCTTTCATGTGCCTAAAAGGGCCCTAACGATGCCAGCAGGCTGCACCCTAATGATGACTAAAGCAAGGATCCTTATAAGGCCCAGAGAAAGAGGTGTATGGAAGCTGGTGACTTGACTCCAGTTCAAAGCTTGCTCCCAAGCAGCCATGCCAAGGATAGGGGATTTCAAAAGGAAATGGGATGCAGGAAGCTCATTTGCATGCCTATTACCCAGCGTGCTCTGAAACCCGGCTTTCAGCTATTTCTGGGCAGCCCTGCCATGCAAGCTCTGGGAACAAATTAATGTCTGGGCTCTGCCTGGAGCGCCTTGTCTCCATGTTTCTTAGTCCCTTTCCTCTCGTGCGTCCTGGAGCAAGGGATGGCTTTTCCCCTTGACACTGAGATCAAATGGTTCAAGCGCTGGCCCAGGCGCAAGGACCCCAGGCATCCTTTCCTGAGTTGTTGTGTGCCCACTCAACGCTCCCCCGTGCCCACGTTCTCCACCTGCACTGTGCAACCTCCCAGGCATGTCATGAGGCTAAGCCCAGGGAGGAGGGACATAGGCGAGCAGCGAGGAACTCGGCGGAAGCGTCCATAAAGCTTTGGGGATATAAAGACCTGCTTTGGAGGGCAGGATTCACAAGGCAGGGACAGATGGAGAAGAAACTCTTGGCAGGCTCGCCCACCGCATCGGCAGACATCAGCACCGCCCGGGAGAATTTGGAGACTCGCAGCCCTGCAAAGGTTCTGCTTTGAACACGACGCGTTTACAGCCATAAAAATACAATTGGCAAAAATCTCCGGGATCCGAAGAGCCACCAGCACAACAAGCCGGGGGCAAGGGGCCAAGCCCAGCCCTGCCATCTGTGGGACCCCGCTGAGTTTAGTAGGATTTCTCAAGTGTGACGGGCACCATTTGGCTAGCTGGGTTGGGTTTGGCTTCCTCAAATGGTCTGGATGACAGTATCCGTAGGGCGTGAACATTAGTGACTGCTGTTACACCCTCCTGTTAGCCCCCAAACAGCAGCAGCAATTGGGTGCCTTGCCCAATTCACTCCAGCAGCTGAAGGAGAAAAATTGCACCGTCCTGGGCGTCAAAGGGGCAACTGTGCACTGACTCTGGAAGTGCATTTGGCTGGCCATTTTTCTAGGGCTGTGGGTCCCCGTTCAAAAAAGAGCGGTAGGAAAACAAAGGAGGAATATGCAGGCAGTGGACTGAGGAGAAGGAGAGAAAGGAAGGATGGTGGAACCAGAGAGGCAGCAGCAGAGGAAGCATCCGTTGCAAACAGCGGGGCCAGAGCGGTACCCGGGGCCTGAGGTTGGTGAAATAAAGGAGGAGTGAACTGGATCAGAGGCAGCGCGATGCCCCTGAAGGCGTCCCTCTTCCCTGGGAACGTGGCCTCTCTATCCCCCAGTCTTTTGGCCCCTTGTCTTTTGAAAGCTTGCCCATTGACAGCAAGGGGCCAAGGACAATCCTGGCAGCTCTCCTGGCTTACCAGCCTCCTCTCGTCTCGTCTTAGAGGACGAACAGGAAGAGTGGGGTCCGGTGGATTTGGCTTTGACGATGCCTGGATTCTAACCCCACCCTGGACACAGTTGTGCTGTGCCCAAGGCCTCCGAGGACCTCACTTCCCTGTGCCTCAGTTTCCCCGCTGGCGAAAAGCAATGCAGATGTGCCTGGCAGCTGGGTGGGCAGGCTGAGCCCTCCAGATCTTAAAAGTTAGGCAACCGCTGATCCTTCTGGTGTACATGTGGGAGGTCACCCAGACCCTTGGCGCATGTGCCTAGGCAGGAGTTTGGAAGAGTGGAGGTTGCCCAGACCCCCCGTGCCCCCTTTAGGCCACTGAGACAGAATCCAAAGGGCAGACCGAGTCCAGATGTTTGGTGCCTCCAAGGCTGTTGTTGTAAGGGAATCACACCAGGTCTCCTGTCTGGCAGATAAGGATTCGGTTACTGAACTCCGATCCGAAAGGGGGGCGTACTGGTGGTCTGCTCCAAAGAAGCATTTGGGGACTGCCCTGTGGACACAGCAGCCAGATCCCCTTCCTGCCCTGCAAAGTGTTTGCATGTGGAACAGCAGCATTGCCACAGCGAGGGAGGGCACCGAGCCGGGGGAAGGCCAGGCAAGAAGGTAAGGTGGCTCCTCCGTGCAGGGGGTATCCGAGCAATTTGGGGTATTTCTTTTGGACAGGGCGGGGGCTCCTTGCGGATGGAAAAATAAGGCAGATACAGAAGTGCCATCCGATGACAGCAGCAGGGGAAGCCAAGGTGGGATATTAGGGAACACTGACAAGGAGGGCGGTGATGCACTAGAACCAGGTTGCGGGGCTCTGGCCTTGGAGGTTTTTAACACCAGGCCGAATAAAGCCAGCATTTGATGATGCGTTTGGGGCTGGTCCTGCTTGGAGCAGGGGGTCGGATTAGATGTGACCCCTCCCAGCCCTCATGGTCTACACGTATGCAGTGGCCACTTTCCTGTAGAGCATCAGCCCTGTGTTTGGGGCCCTCCCCAGAGTCCCAAGAAGCCCCCCATGCCTCCAGGCTTCTGCCCCCACCGCTCAGATCTGCCCCACACCTGCACCCCCTGCCCCACAGGCCTCACCCCCTTCCCACTCTACCCCCT